CCCCCCCCCCGAAGCTGCAGAGTATAGTTGGCCTGGTAAATGTAGGTTTTTCACTGCTGCTACTCACTTAATAGCAACAGTGCAAATTTCTCACTTTCAGGTCTGTTGTACATATGGAAAACTCTGAGAATTCCAGAGTCTGTATTTCCAAAAGGGAACAATACATTGAGCTGCATTGGACAGGTTCTTTAAGCTCAAGCAGCAGAGGGCCAGGACATCCTTTATTTTGAATGTCAGGCCACAGAAATTATACGTCACTTTTGCAAATTTAGGCCTGGGGGTGTATTGACTGACACGGTAGGAAGGCATTACATCCAGTTTGTTGTGAGTTTCTCAAAAAAACAGAAGTTTTGAAATCCTTCACAAATTTAAGAAATGTTTTTTGGAAGTTAAAGACGTGGATGATCTCTCTCTTACCTGTGAACTGAAGTTAAGTATTAGGCAGGTAAACTGCTTAAGCCCGTTATTATTTTATTTTGAAAAATGAGATTGTTGAGTTGTGTTTCTTTCAAAGCCCATTTGCCTTCTCTACACTGGCGTGCAGAGTAGAAGGGGGTTTTATTTTTCTTCTGCTAATGAGGTTGCTTGTACAGTCACAAGCTAATATTTAGGAGTTAATGTGTTCAAGGAAAAATCTGCTTTTGCATAGAATCATCTTTGTGTCACTCAGCTGAACTATGGCTGCTCCCTAGTTCTGCTTCTTGTATACTTTTCAAATCAACTGCCAAGAAAATTTCATCCAGATGTTTCTTACAAGGGATTTAATCAGCAGTGTGGAGTCGGGAATCTTTGCTGTCTGTTTTGCAGTGGGGGTCAGAGATGTCTGAGGGGAGGCATGTAAAAAGGTTAAATGCCCTTCCCTTCCCATGAGATTCATGAGCAAATGTTTCTACTGGCAAAAGCAAATGTTAATTATTTTATTCCTTTTTTTGAAAAGGGTTTTCATCCAAAAAGATTTATTGGGCTCTAGCCTCCACTTTAACATATGGTTCTCTTTTTACATGATAAATATCCATTTGTACATGATCATAAATAGGTAATGGATTTTGGGAATTTCTTTCTGAGCTGTGTCCAGCTTTGTACTGCATTAAAGGGAGAGTAACACCATGTGCATTACTGTCTGACTTTGAAGCCAGGTAATAACGGAATATCAGATACCAGTATCAGCCAATGAAGCATGATATATTTGCCAATGGAAGTACAGAGAATGATAAATGTATTGTAAAATGAAACAAAGGGTGATAACTGGTGACCTATGTTGCCCCATGCCCATATTCACAAAGTAAGAAGGTGACTTGTATGGATACCATGGGGGCTTTACATAGGAAATTAGCATTATGTAGGTTATAATCATAGCAAATGTTAACTTACATGATAAGCTGCTTTTTCAGATAAAATTAACTGATCCCGGGTATTGAATTGCATATGCTGTTTTGTCAGTCTTGAAAGGAAAATAAGAATCACCACATGTTTTGGCTGCTTCTTTTTGTTCTCTCTCTTTTTCAAAGTTGAGGTACTTGGTTTGCTTCCATTACAAAGCAAAATCTTTAATCAAAATGGCCAGCCCAGGAAGAGTGCAGAATATCAAGCTAAGGAAAAAGCTATAAAAACTCAAACCCCAACAGTCCCCCAAAACCCACATGTGCACAGTCTGATTGAAATTGATGTGCTTTGGGAGTGTAAGGCAAAATATGTAAAGAATGTTTCACAAAATGATAATGTGAGATTCTTTGCTTTAGGGGAAAAGACTGCCTGTAGGGTGTCAGGGAGGCATGAAATGAACTGGTTTAGGACATACTCTTTACCTCTGAAGTCCAGGAAGTTCAGAAAGTTTGTGACTCTGGATTCCATCATACATTGTAGAAGAGAGAAGGTAGGACAGTAGAGGATTATTATTTTTTTTTACTATAGAACAAGAGTCTATCTTGAGATTTTTGTGAGCCAAAGGAATTGCAGACAACATGAACGATTAACTGTCTTTTGTTTCCAGAATACTTTTCAGCCTTTTTTATTTCCCTTCTTTCCTTCCACTTGCCAACCACTGTGTTATCATATATTCAGGGGATATCCAAAATACCTGAAAAGGTAAAGCTTAAACAATTTATTTTTTTTTAAATCCCATTGTTCTTGAAGCAATGCAACCTGTACATTGCATTTGTATCTATAGAACAAAGTCTCTCATTTGGCATATGCAGGTGATGGAGAACTACAAAACCCCCTCACTTTTGCTTGTGGTTTGAGGCACATTTCAGTGATTTCCTTCTTAATATGGATTCTGTGAAATCCCCACACCTTGTACTGAAATTTTCCCAAAGGATAGGCAGAAATGCACTATGTAATGGATTACCCAGTCTTAATTCTGAGAAATGCCCTAGTCAGTCTTTTGATAATGTTTGACAGTCTGGTGGTCAGTTCCTCAAGGATCTCCATCTCTGATTAAGGACATTCTTCAACTCCAAGAGACTGTATTTTTGCAGGTGGACAGGGGATCATATTTCCCTTATCACAGCAAAGCATACGGCAGGCATGGCTATCAACTCCTTAATCTTAGGAGTGAAAATAGCTCTTTTCCCTTGGATGTCAAATCTTACCCCAAACGGATGAGATACGGTAGAGATGGATGTTCCCAGTGTGTTAAAGGAAGCCAGACACTATTCCAGATACCAGAAAGTCTTAGCATAAAGCCATATCATAAAGAGGATATATGAACAGGCGAAGCTGCTTGCTTTTGACACCTCTTCCACTGCTACTACTTTTGTAAAACCAACCAAAAAAACCCAATGTAAAACGAAAGAGAACTAAGGCAGTGCTAGTTCCGGGTTAGAAACTTCTCTGGCCTATGTATCTAAATCCCAATACTCACTACAGATGCACTCAGATACTTTTCAGATAGAGTATGCAACATCTGTATGGATATCAGTACCCTAAATCTGCCAGCCAGTAATGAGAAGAAAAACTTCATGTGATTTTTCTCTGGCAGAAAACAGATTCATCCCTTTAAAAAGTCTGGGAACCTCTTGTCCTGACTGATGTGCAGTCACTGACAGGAGACACACAGTGGGATTACATCCTGTCTTAGATTGTCAACATACCTCCTACTAAAGGGCTACTTAAAGTGCTCCATGCCTAGGGAGCTAACTGATGAACCACTCTCCAACTAAAGAGTTTTGAGGTATAGCAGTTCAGAAAGAGTCTGCAGGCATATGTAATCATTAGGAATCGGGAAAGCATCCATTTCAGTTGAGGTGATGCGTTCAATATGATCTCAGATCTGCAATGTTCCCAGTGTTGCCTGGATCTTCTAGAGGAGTGTCCAAGAACTTTGTCCCATGTCTTTCTCCAGGAAGAGAATGTGCTCAGGCAGACCCAGATTTGGTGTGGTGCTTTGAACTTGGGATCAGAAAGCAATTTTGACTACAAGCTGATAGTTGTCCATATCCGAAAAATGAGGTGAAAGCAGTATATTAGTCCTAAGTTTCTCTTCATAGGCTGTATAGTGGTTCACAATTTTAAGTGCTGGGCAATGTGCATGGTGAGGTAGGAGATGACCTTTTAGATGCATTGCTTTCTCCAATGTGAATACAACAGTGTCAGCTCCAGGATTCACCTGAGGTGAATGGAGAATTTTGGTCAGGGACTGCCTGCCGGACCATCTGGGATTATGTTAGATAAAGTGAAATGCAAAAATGGAAGAATTACTTGATAGTTGAAGCTGTTGAGCAACAAAAATTAGTGTTTTCTTGAAATGAAATTTTAATATTATGTTCAGTTATGGTTTAATTTTCAGTTTTCTTGACCTTACACAAGATACAAAATTACTATGTAACATGGAGGCCTATTGACTTCTCACAGGACTGTTTACCATTGAAGGTGTTTGTCCAAGAATTGCTCCTCATTTTTAGGTATTTTCAACATGTTTGTTAGTAAAGTTGCACATATCCCTCTTTCACTACTTTCCATACATGGAGATCTTGGAAATTAACTTAACAAAAGGAAGAAGAACAGTGCTTTGAGAAGACTGTGCATAAGCAGGTTATTTTTAGAAAACAGAAGAGCTATGGCCTCTGAAGAAAATATGAAACAATAAATATTTATACAAAAGTGTATGAGGTAAAGAAATGAATATAAGACAATATAAGTGAGACTCTGTTCTTTGATCACAGCTGTAATTTTTTTTTTCATTGCCAAATGATGTGTGAATATTGCTTTTGACTGCATGTGTAAATCACTGGAAATGTTTTTGGGCTAAAAAAGAGACCAAAGAGGCCATGCAGATTTCTTTTGATATTAGAAGCAAAGATAGGAGCCCATGCCTGCAGTGACTAGAGGGAGACTGCTATGTGCTACATTAGCAGATTGAATTGCAGGATCATCACCTCTGTAAGAAGCCTAAAATACTAAACTGTGGGTTGGCTTTGAGGGCAGGAATTGACAAATGCAAAACATGCATCGATGACAAGAACTTCTTCCTAGCTTAAAGAATTCTGTACAGTGTTCTCTTAAGCTGTGCTGCATTTGCTTTAAAAATAGTAATAAATCTTACTGCTTAGGTCGAATGTTACATCTGTTGTGCATTTATATGGGAGGAATAATATTTCTTAAAAAAATGTAACATGCCACCTACCAAGGAGCCCAGTCTCATTTTATAGCCTCTCTTCATACAGCCGTAAAACTTATTTGCAAGAACACTCCAGAATTAATTTTAAACAAATGTGTGTGTTATCCAGAGTTAATGTGTGCATTTGTGTAGCAGTGTGTGTTTGTTAATCTCAGATTTATGAAGGCAACTATTCACATGCACGCTTTGCCTGCAGAAGAACATAACTGACATTTGATGTAAATAAGATCGTTATGGGTTATCCAAATACAATTCTCAAAATATCAAACTAGCAAAGACAGTAATTTTGCAGTCCTGAGAGAAGGGATTGCACCAGAGTTTGGGTC